TCCAGAGATACCTTCAAACATCCATCCATCCAACAGCATTTATAATATTAGTAATATATGTGAGCCTGCAAGAGGCCAAGAGACACATTTTTTTTATTTGTTTATAGTGATTACTTACTTATAGACATTTCACTTTTACAAGACTTTCTCGTTTAAAGCAGTTTCTCTCTTAAACAAGTTTCTCATTTATAGAGGTTTCTCTTACCCGAGTTTCTCTCTTATAGAGGTTCTCTTACCAGAGTTTCTCGCATATTAGGGGATCGGACTTTCGCTTGTATATAATCTTGTGACATCTGTATTATCAAAGAGTATAAAAGAGAAACTAACCTTGTGATTTGTTATCTTCAGAATCAGAGCCGGAGTCATCAGAATATATATCAGATGCTTTTAACTTGACGCTCTGTTTACTTGTACCACCAATTATCTCCGCATCTGCGTCCTGTTGGATAAAAATATTATATTTAACTGAGGTAGAGCGAGCTTTAACTTCTTCGCACGAATTGTCCCGACTCGCCCGGTGAAATACCACGACCACACAGAAGACAGGCCTCAAATGGAAGCAATTCCAAGTACAGTCTGATCAGTGTGCGTCCCGAAGGCCTAATTTTGTCGTCTTTCCCTTCTTACCCTTTTTCTTATAAGGAAAGGATGGGAAGTGGAAGTAAATTTTCTGGATGAGGAGAGGATGCATGGAAATGTTTTCTTACTGTGCATGTAGGCAACGCATATGCAATTGCGTATGTCTATGGGCAACGATCACTTCGCTATTTCAGCGATTTCAGGTGACCGCTCGCTCGTTTACCACCATATAATATAAAAAAAAAATATACAAAAAAAGCTAAAACATTCACGTATGTTCGTCCGGTCTAGACTAAACTAGTCGGTTCCACTAGTGGAAATAAGATATGCAATCTGTTCCCCTGACAAATTCATTTCTCCTTTCCATTGTTGGTGGCAGAGGCGAAATTTCTCTACCCAAGCATTTATTAATGAAATGGATTTGTACTGGAAGGGGAAATATTCCTTTTTTTGTATACTCTGTGTACTAAAATGAAAGGTATATGCAATCGTCTTTTTGGAAATATCTATGGTCAACGGCCAGTTCCACATTTTGGTAAATTTAGCTTTAGAAAACAATTCTGTGAATATCTGATCAGTGGTTAAAATTAATGTTTTTTTTTTCTAAATTAAATATATAAGTTGTTATACTTACATCATCATCATCCTTGTCTTTCTCCTGTTCCATTCTCTTCCTTTGCTTATGTTCAGTGCGAGTTGCCTTTGCGTCTCTCTGCGCACGTAACGCCGCCATTGCGTTCTGCCGCCTGTCGTCCACGTTCCTCTTCCTACCTTCAGACTTCGTACCGAACAGGGGTGATGTCGAACGAGACGCGTCTGGAAGGAAGAACATTAAGAAAAATAACTAAGTGTAGACTTAACCACGTTCTATTAGTCAAGCTTTTTCATTTGACACCAATGTTGGGGTAGTAAAATATGTCATCCGCCATTTCGCGTCGGCCATCTTGGATTTAAAATTGGCACTGAATATTAAAAATAACATTGTCATTAGGACTAAGGACGTGTACCAAATTTGAGAAAATCTGACAAGAGATATCCACTCACCATTGTCTTTCTGATCATCCATTATCTCACCGGGACTCTGTTCCATACTTTCATTTTCTTTCTCCATTTCCTTTGGTTGTTCTGATTCAGATTCTAAAAAAAACACATACAAAATCACTTCTAGATTACCTCGAGTTAGTAACAGAAAGAATATTATGTTTAAACATAGATCCTACATTTAAAGACAATTTTATTTTTCACACAAATTAACTGTTGAGATGAGAATGATTATAATTGTTTCCCAACTCTTACCTCTCCTCTCAACTCTCTCCATTCTCTCTCTTTCTTCAGGCGGTCTCTCACTCTCTCTAGGTGCTTCTCTCTTCTGTGCTCGTCTCCTGCGGCGCGCGTCTCTCCTCCGCGCCAACTCTCCCGGAGATGCGCCGCGCTCCGCCGCAGTACGCTTTGCTAGACGAAGCTTCCTTTCTATCTCCCATCTGGTGATTTGTTTTATGAAGAAAATATAATCACACGTAAAATTGTTAATTAAATTAAGGGAAAATCATAAAACTACAGACAGAGAAATATCGAACTACAGATTTTATATAAGTAAGAAATATAATAAAACTAGCTGTCTACCACGACTCGGGCCGGAATTCAAACTTAATTAGTAGCCTATGTGTTCTTTCCAACTATGTTCTATATCTATGCCAAATGATATTGAGATCTATTGAGCCGTTCTGGAGATTACTTCTAACAAACATACATCCATCTAGACATTAGCATTTATATTAGTAAGACCTAAATAACTAATAAACCAACCTAAAATGACAATCACACACAATTACAGTTAATAATTTTTTTTATCTCCATCTCTTATTCTGCATCTCCACTTTTAATATCCCTTACCTTGTCTTCATGAGATCTCTTCTCTCAATACGTTTGAATATCTCTTGTTCTCTCTCCTTCTCCGACATAGCGGCAAGCCTTGCCCTGTCTTCTTCATCTCCCATCAAATTTTCATCATAACTGAAAGATTTTAAAATTAAAAATAATTTTTTTTATTTACTTTTTTTTATGATAAGCAGGAAATTGTAAAATCTCTGTATAAAATGATTATCTTTGATATAATAGAGATAGTATGTATTAAACCATGATCTGAGAAACAATAGATTTGGGACTCAGAAACCCACTGTAAATAGGCAGATTAATAATCTGTCTCACCCATCATCAAATTCCTCTTCCGAGTCTATTGAATCATTGTCAGACGAATGTGACGATACTTCACCTGAAAATAAGTACAATAATGATAAAACTAGCTGTCGACCGCGGCTCCGTCCACTCTATATTAAATAAACTTAATAGCCTATGTTCTACATCTATGCCAATTTTCAGGTAGATACATACATAGTTTCTGGAAATAACATCTAACAAACATCCATCCATCCAAACATTTTATAATATTAGTAAGAAGTAAGATAGAGATAGTATATATTAAAGTTTAAAATTTGGATTAAATGACTAGGAAGATTATGAAATACCAAGGTACATCTTCAGATATTTAGAATGATAAGGATATTTGCACTAATAATTAAAAAAAAATCATATGCTACCTTCTTCAGGTTCGCTGTATGTATCTTTTTTCTTAACCGAACCAACACTGTCTATGCTCTTTCTGGTTTCAGTCTTTTTCGGTTCCGCTTTCTTTTTAACTTCATCCGTGTGATCTGATGAGGACTTCCTTGCAGGTCTCGGTGGGTCTTTTTTCTTGGATGTGTCACTTCTTGCATCACTCTCCGATTCTGAGTTCGATGATGAAGATGATTTGCCTAAAATCATGATGTTTGTTAAATAAAAAATAGCTGTCGCTCACATCTCCGTCCACACAGAATTAAAAATTAATAAGTATGTGTTCTCCAAGACAATGTATGCCAAATATCAGCAAGATTTGTGCAGAAATGAATGGGAAAGTGGAATTATTAAGGCGAAGGTGAAATGGGAAAAAACATCCTTTTTTATCACAGCCAATACTTAATCACCATAGATCACTTAGTGTAGCTTACATACTAAAATTACACTAAGGATTTTTTAATATTTACGAGTTACCATCTTTTTTGTCATCATCATCCCAATCAGACTCGCTGTCTGATGATTTGTTGTTAGATTTTGATGGTGGTGGTGATTCTTCTGGTTTCTTTTTCTTCTTTGCTAAGTTTAAGAATTGCTGGAACAATAATATCTATGGTCAGACCTACTTCACAATTACATAATAGACAATATCAAGATTGTCATTGATTTTTTAAGGCAACAAGATCTTTAAAATGGAACCTAAATTATTTAATGATTAAAAGTTTATTAAAAATAACTTGTTGACTTACATAAATAATATGATGTAACAAATTAGTTATTTTCGAAAAAAAACTGAATTTTCCTAGTGAAAAATAAATATTTTGTCTATGGTCTTTTTATATTTATAATTTCCTAAAGAAATTATAGTAAAGTCAATAAATTTAAAAAGAAAAGAGGAGGAGATTAGGTAACGCGATGTTCGTTATTATGTTTGAATGTATTTGATAAAAAAACGAATACGTTATAACTAAAAAACACTTTGAATTATGTTATGTATTTTGTAACGTTTTGGGACGCAAAATTTGGCAGAATGTAAAAGAATTTTACGTTAATAAGTTTGGAAAGTGGCTTTCTTCGAATTTTGTATGAGTCATAGCCAAAGTGGCCATTACAACACCAAGCTTTGTAGAAAAACATCGTGACAATAGTGAAAACGTTAAATTGTTTTTACAAGTAAAAACACTGTTTTTTCCTAAATATCTCAGGTTATTGCGCACTAAGCATAATTATAGCATCGTGCTATTGATCTTGGCCTAAATACGCATGTGAAATAGAATAGGAATGTCTACAAAAAGCTGTCTTGTCTTCTAAAACAACCTATAACCTAGGAATTGTATAACGGATATTACTTACCGAGTCTAAGTCTGAGCAATCGCTGCTTGAATCAGAATCGATCAATGGCTTATTCTTCCTTTTAGCCATTTGTGAGAACTATATCTAGAAAGAACGACACAAGATTTTTTTCTTTACGCTACGAAGTTGTCCGTCAATCGTTACACACAAAATGTTTTTTTTACAATCATTGAGAGAATATCGCATTCTTGAAATTTCAGTTCGGATACTCAACTTACTCTTTTTAGGTTTTACAAAATATTAACAAGGTATTTTCGATGCGATGCTATAAGATAAATAATTTTACAGAAATGTAACAAAAGATTATGAGGATTAACATTTTTAAATTGAAGATTGAGGCTAAAGAGTATATCAATTTGATTGATTGAGGCAAGTGCTAAAAAGTTATCGCGACGGATATTAGACATTTTATAATCTGTGGTCTGAGGTTGTCATCTATGCCGTTTGTTTGTCATCATCTGTCATTGTTGTTATTTTCCAAAAGTGAAAATTACTACGAAATAGTAAAATAATAAGAGATTCGGAGAGATAAACGCTGTCGGTTAAAAAAAAAATCCTTTTTTTGATTTCTTGTGCTTCATACGTTTGGTAGATTTGAATATTCTATCTTACCACATTGTTGCGATAAATAACCGTATACGTAGTAACGGGTCCTCCGTTACTTTTCCAATAAAACCTTATTATGCCTCATGATTTAAAAGAACTGGGTGTAAGGAAAGCTATAATGGTAAGAACACTATATCGAAACCACACACATTCGTATGCCAAATTTTTTACAAATATTTCTCAAGTACTATAGAATGTTTCTAGAAACTACAAACAACACGTTTGAAGAATTCGATAACAATGTTTAGGATATTTAATGAACGACATATAATGACTGCTTAAATAACCTAATAGCAAACTTGTAAGTACCGCAGCTAGTTTCTAAATTAAAAACACTTAATTTTCAGGCTCCCTTGTCGCCAACTCCCTGCGCCGAGATTAGTGATGATGAGCTGGTCTCCATTTCAGTGCGAGACTTGAACCGACAGCTCAAGATGAGAGGACTGACAAGAGATCAGATTGTAAGGTAGGTGTAATGGTATAGATGTATGAATGTGGAAGGCAAGAGAGAAGTATTCGAACTATTGACAGATGGAAGTGTGTGTGTGTGTGTTTTTTTTTTGTGACTGTGTAGTCACTGTTTGCCTTGAGGAGGCATTTACAGCTTCACCAGGCTTGACGTGGCCGAGCGCAGATGGTGCTTAGCCTGAACCTCGAAGTGTGTGTATTAAATGAAGTTATCAATTAATTCTGCCTACACCTCTAGGTTATGTGTTTGTTGTTGTAAATCACCAGGCTATTTTATCCATATTTTTGCATGATATTGGCTGTAGAAATCTATGGTAAAGAAATTTCAGCTTGATACCTTCACACATTTCTGTGAAAAATGGTCTTGACAGACAGAGAGGTTCCGTTTTCTTCCTCTAGAAGTATGGAACCCTAAAAATAGTAATTTCAGTGGATCAGTGGATCTCCACTATTGAAGCATCTATAAAGATATTATAATCTTCTCATTATCTTTGAAAGACATACTGATGTTTTTGGAATTGGGCATTTAGTTATTTAAAATATAAAGAAATAAAACTCTCATAGTATATCTGCGGTGAAACATATTTAGATCTGGGATCAAATATATTAGTAATATATTTTTTGTTACAGAATGAAACAAAGACGTAGAACTCTCAAGAACCGAGGCTATGCAGCCTCGTGTCGTATTAAACGAATAGAACAGAAGGATGAATTGGAGACTGAAAAGAGTCAGGTTAGTTTAACTCATTTACAATAGGTTTCTGAGACCAAGTCATTTAAAATATATTGTTATTTCTATTTTTAAAAAAGGGTTGCATCTCTCATTGATTTAGTATGAGATGTAACGTGACCCTGAATAACCATAAATAAATACTAGCCCTGAAGATGGACCCCTGATGGGTCCAAAAGTAGTTGGTGCTGCCACGGGTAGATCAAATGTTAGTTAAGTCATTCCTAATTAATTTATTATAATATCTCACGAAAGTTTTAACAATTTAATTATTTCTGTACTGTTAAAAATAATGATAGACATGATAATATGTTTTAAACAGAGATTTGGTCTCGGAAACCCACCATTTTTCAGCCAGTTGTTCTTGAGTTATAAATAATGTAGCTAACAGGATGTTTTTTTTTGTCAAGGAATGGCACGATATGGAGGCAATGCAAGAGGAAAATACAAGAATTCGTGATGAAATAGAAGCATTGAGAAGTAAATATGACGCATTGAAAAGGTTTGCCATAATGAAGAGTATCCCATTACCAGCGGAATTGGAAATATTACCATAAAGAAAAACGGATATTTTGTGCATTTGTAGAAAGGTTTTGTAGAAATAAGTTCTTACATCACCATCATCAGCTCACTATACGTCCCCACCAAGGGGCTCGGAGCCTACTCTAAGTTAAGGGTGATTAGGCCATAGTCAACCACGCTAGCCAAGAGTGAGTTGACTTCACACATATCTTTTGAATTTCTTTTTAGATATGTGCAGCATCACGATGTTTTCCTTCACCATAAGAACGTCATTCAGAAAAACACATTGGTACATGGCGGGATTCGAACCCAAGACCTGCAGATTGCAAGTCAAGTGCTTGACCCCTGAGCCACCGACGCTCACTTACATACCAGTTAAAAAAAGAAGTTCAACAATTAACTATTTTCATCTTATCTTACTAATATTATAAATGCGAATGTTTAGATGGATGGATGTTTCTTTGAAGGTATCTCCGGAACCGCTCAATGGATAAATATGGAATTTGCATGTAGAATATAATCTGGAAGAATACATATTCTACTTTCAAGCTTCTCTAAATTCCACTCGAACGGAGTCGCGGGCTATAGTTAGTAAATATATAAAAATATCAGTTGCCCGTAACTCTGTCAGCGCGAAATTAAACTTAATTAGTAGTCTATGTATTCTTCCAGATGTTCTACATCTATGACAAATTACATCAAGATCTATGTAGCTGTTCCGGAGATACCTTCTAACAAACATTTAAACATTCGCATTTATAATATTAGTAAGAGTTTATCCTAGTTTTCTAAACTTATGGCCAGTAATATAGGGTGTCCCAAATGGTTACTTACATAGGAAGGGGGATGATAGGGGTGGTCACAAGGGTCACCAGAAAAATAAAATAAAAATTCCCCTCTGGGTATTAAAAAAAATAAATGGCATTTTTTAAAAACTTAAAAATTTTACACCTTCTGGGGCAATTTTAATTTTCTTTAAAATCTTTGTTAGTTGTATTGTTTTTATTTCATATTGATAAAGGGTTATTGACGATAACTTAATAGCTTTTTTTTTAAATGTAGCAATATTTGTAGGTTACAAAATTGCCCCTTAAGGTGGAAAATTTTTAAGTTTTTTAAAAATGCTATTTATTTTTTTAATACCCAGAGGGGAATTTTTATTTCATTTTTCTGGTGACCCTTGTGACCACCCCTATCATCCACCTTCCTATGTACGTAACCTTTTGGGACATCCTGTATAGTGAGATATATAGAGATTTTAACAGAATTAAGAATATAGTAAATATACTTTAGTAGATATAATTTTCGTTTATAGTAATTTGGGTCAGGTAATTACGTAATTTCTTGATATGTTTTTTTTTTTATTTATATATAAGAATGAATAATTTTAATTTGTAATTTCACTATAAGTGATATTATTGGCATTTTTTATATTATGTTTGCTTTATATAGCATTAATTATTACTAATATTATTTTTAATTACGTAATAAATGGTTTTTACATCTATTAATTATATTAAGGTAGGTTACACTTGATTGTGTACTATCAGGGTATTTGGCGGTATTCCACTTTAAAAGTAAGTCGCTTGATGATGAAGCATACAGACGAAAGAGAGGACAGCTTAAGGACGATTTAGGGTCCTTCAAGAAGTGTATCACCATCTCAAAGGCCGACAACGCATTTGCAGCTCCTCTGGTATTGCTGATGTCCATGGGCGTCGATGAACACTTCGCTGTTCCCCCTGCTCTTTTGTCCCCTTCTCTTATAAAAAAAAGGTTTTTAATGTGTTCGTACCTAATTCAATCAGTGGTATATTAATTTCTTTTTAATATTACAACGATGTTTGCTTATCTCACTGCTACCTTATCGGTTATCTGTTAGTTTATCTTTTGGTAAGGAACAAGACAATTTTTTTTCTAAGTGGAACATCGCGTAGTGACCTGACTGTACATATCAGTGTTAATTAACTGTGCACAATTAACTGTTGTTAAATTACTTTTATGCTGTATTTGAACAAGACATTTTTTTTATAGATATTCTGAAATTAAATGTAAATTAAACGCCATCTAGTTTATATTTACAAAAACTTTCCTTTCGAAGATTTATTCCTCATTTTGTAAACATGCTGATAGAATAAATTATATTAACTACAATGATGTTTTATTGAATAGAAGACAAAGTGATAGTACCGCCTGCTTCCATTCACACCATCTCGATGGCTGGCAATCCACGACCGTGCGGTTTACTCGTAACTTCTTGCTTCGCACAGCAGCGTTTTGGAATGGTCTATCCTCGGCGGTATTTCCAAAGCACTACGGCTAAGGGTCCTTCAAGAAGCGAGCTTATCACCATCTCAAAGGCCGGCAACGCATCTGCGGTTCCTCTGGTATTGCTGATGTCCATGACGTCGTTGAACACCTCGGTGTTCCCGCTGCTCGTTTGCCCTTCTCTTATAAAAAAAGTAATTCCGATGACAAATACTAGTCCTCGACCCCTTCCCCTTTCTAATAAGAAGGAATTTCATAAAAAACATAATTAGTAGCCTATGTGTTCTTCCACAATATGTTCTATATGTATGCCAAATTTCATCGAGATTCATACAGCCGTTCTGGAGATATCTTCAAACAAACATCCATCTAAACGCAGGTAAGATAAGATGTCTATAGGCAGGGTCTTTTGGCTATTTTTTGTGGATTCCGTGACCGATTGTTCGTTTGAAATTTTTTTTTTCCAATTTAGTATGTATAGTATAAAAACCGTCTAAATTTTTTCAAAAAGAAGAGAGAATGCAAAAGATCGCGATTTATTTAAAGTACATAAATAATTTATTAGGAACGTATTCAAGGACAAAAGCCAAAAGCACTTTGCCCAGTCCTTTTTTATAATAGGGTTACCATGATTTAATTTAAAATAAATCAAAGTAGTAAGTGTTTTTTTTGTTTATAAAATCTTATGTCGTATCTCTTTAATTTTGTTATGTAATTTAGCGTATAAAATTTATGTCTAAAATTATTAATCTTACTAATATTATAAACGCTAATGTTTAGATGGATGGATGGATGTTTGAAGGTATCTCCGGAACGGCTGGTCTTGATGAAATTAATCATACATATAGAACAGGGTCTGAAAGAACACATAGACTACCAATTATGTTTTTCTTTTAATTCTACGCGACTAAAGTCGCGGGCGACAGCTAGTATTATTAATAGATAATAAATGGTTTTCACTTATTTCACACAAATTAATCAATTTTAGTTTTTTTATATTTGCTGCTAAGTAAACTGATGTACTCAGAGTCCTATAATGGATGTTTAATCAATCCCTTAGTGCAAATCTCTCAATCTAAATTAAGCGGCTTCCTTAATGAAGTAGCTCCATTAAGGGAACAGCGTAGTATTTAAACATTTATGGTCACCCTAATATTTAAGTTTTCGCAAGTCGATAATTGTGTTTGGAGATCCCTGAGGTAAAGAGGGATCGCATGGAGGTAAGCGGGGATTATTTTACATTTCGATTCCTCACTGATTTTGTCTTTTGTAAACAGATTGATGGAAATGTAATTTTTGTAGGAAAATACATTGTTTTTAGACCTTAGTTAACTCCTAGTTATTTTTGGATTTTAGTAGTTTATAGATAGGTCTGGAATTGTTAAGAGGTTATAAATACTCATAATTTATGAGTGACGTTAAATTCTTTTTTTTTGGCCGTTTTTTAAATATAATTCTACGAAATAGTAATGCTGGATCCTGCCCATAGACCTTTCATTGATTTTTTTCTTTTCAACGAAATTAGGGTTAAATGTTTCATTTTTTATGGTGCTAGTACAAAATTCAACTATTATTAATTACTTTGTTTGCTGAATCTATTTATTTTTACTGTTATTTTCATTAAAAAACAGTTTTTACATTCAAAGCAAAATAAAATTTAAATACGTATGCGTATTATTTTTTTCTCTAAGTTTTAAAATGTAGATAACATATAAAATATTCTTACGTCATTACGTCAGCTGGTATAAAGTTTTGCGCGGGAAAAAAATCATGGAATCCATAAAATTTGTTTTAATCTTGAGAGAGTCGTAAAAATTAAGGCAAAAAGATTTCCCTCTTTAACTTTTTGTAATGTATCTTTAAATTGTTGGCGAAACTTTTCGGTGGATGATTTACATTTTGTTTTGAATTACGGCTCTTCGTATTATCTTTGCGCATTATTATTGATACTGGCAAGTACGAGGCAAAGGAAAGTATATTTTTGACACTTAAATACCTAAAATTGGTAACTCTCAAAACATTTATTAGACTCTTTCAGCAAAATTTTGTACTGGCTGCAAGAATATTATTATATATAATATAATAAAATTTCATAAAAATCGGTCAAGCCGTTTTGGAGTATGGTAACACCGTGACCCGAGAATTTTATATAAAAAACTACATTGTAAAATATCTTCTATATATATAGAAGATATTTACGTCTACTATATATATATATAATATATAACTCAAGAACGGCTTTACCGATATTGGTGAGGAGGTAGGTTAGAGCCACGAGACGGACATAGGATACTATTTTTTCATTTTTTTCGAATTTATGCCTTGAAGAGCTGCTTTTTATTTAACTTACTAATATTATAAATGCGAATGTTTAGATGGATGTGATGTGGATGGATGGGTGCTTGAAGATATCTCTAGAACGGCTGAACGGATCTCGATTAAATTTGGCATACGTATAGATCATAGTCTTAAAGAACACATAGGCTACACTAATTAAGTTTTTTTATATATCTACGCGGACGGAGTCGCGGGCGACAGCTAGTTATTTATGAATAAAGGTTTCTGTAACACTTATTTACACAAATGTGTAAGCGCCTTGGTCGCTGAACTACGGCTGAGCCCCGTGTTTCAGGAGCCAATTGATTCCCTTTAATATTAAATCGGGGGCGTCCTGGATGCAGGTGGCACAAGATATGTCATCGTGGCGATCTTTGGGGGAGGCCTATGCCCAGTAGTGGGCGTCTCATGGCTGACAGGAATATTAATTCGATTTTACATTTAGTGCAGATAAAATGTAAATGAAAGAAAGAAAAGAAAGAATGGAAAAAAACAACAACCATAGTATCTTTTCACTTTTTAACCACAAGCTTGTTAGCGATCTGGTTTTTTCAAAGAATTCA